TATGCTGCCCCTTTAGGTCCTAAGGTTGGCAGCAGTCATCCTCCTCAAAAATAAAAGTGTATTTTAGTGAGTTCTTGGCATCCTGAAGTCTTCACTAGGACTGTGGTGTTAATGGTTTCTTCTTCCTCAGTCACACTTCCACTTGGGGCTAGTTTAGCACATTTTCTAACATGTTTTTGCCTTTTTGCCTTTTTATTGATTAGCAATATCACTTCTTATCTGTATTTATTATATATTTTATTTTACATATGTTAGTACATTCTTTGTTCTTCTGCACTTTCTTTTTCTTTCCTAGCCTTAAAACCTTTTTGTTCAGCTCCCCAGTCACTTGGTTTCTTAATGACTATTGCTAAGCTGTTTATAAGCCTGTCTTTATTATCCCATGCCTATAGTCCTGTAAACCATGTTATTATGTTAAAGTCATAAATATTTCATTCTACACAGAATAATTGCTTTTCACTGTACATGTAAAAATTTTGATTATACCACAAGATTATGCAAATATAAACTAATATAAGCCATATAAGCAAAACTAACAAATTAGACAATAGTCACTTGATCATTAGAAAAATTGTTGCAGCTAAACAAGCTAAATCAAAACTCAAGGCAGGCAAGGAAAGTTCAGACTAAGCCTAAGAAGTTAATCCTGAGGCCTTGCAGAGCTGGTACAAGTTCTACAGCATGTTACTAGCAATGGTAATACTGGCTTACGGGGCTACAATAACAGCTGAACAAACATTCTTGCAAACTGACTAATTAGGAAGTCTAACTGTACAATATGCTGTAAAGGCTTGGGTTTTTTTGGTTCTGCATTTCTGTTTCTCAGGTTATATTCAGTGGTGCTGTACTTTCTTGTTTTAATGTTGTTACAGAATTTGAAATCTTGTCTGTTTAAGCTAGAGCAAAATCACCAGCTGTTTAAGGAAAAAAGAAGCATATGTGGGGAATGCACCTAATGTAGAGTGAGCTCACAACTAGGAACAGTTGCATCTGAATTTAGCAGGTTGGATAGACTTCACAGACCCCGAGAAAGCTGAGAATAGCCTTGATAGGGTCGCATCCTTACCTAGACTTTTCATTTCCTTTGAAACCTGAAACGAAGACCTGGATTTCCATAGAAATTTTGGTGTGCACCACTGCGTGCTACATCTGTACAAGATTCTTGCGCAGTCTGAATGCTGCTTTTACCACTGTGATTTGGGATTAGAAAAGGCATCATGGCAAAAGACAGTGAAGGTGTCAAATGGCAAAGAGACAGGAAGAGGTGACAGTACAGTCAATGAGCATCTTAAAATGACGTATTTTGGAACCGGGAGAAGTGATAGTAATAAAAGTCTCTGTACTAATAAAGGTGCATTTATTCCAAATGGTCAGGACAGAAAGAGAAAGACAGTTGTAAATACCTCTGCAAATAGCACTATCAAACTTAGGCTTATCTTTCCCTAATGCAGTGCCAAAACTAATAAATCCCCACACAGCTAACATACTAACAACAAGCAGACTCTGAGGAAATATGCTTTTATCACAGTAACAGTGTCAAAACAGTATTACTCATTCAAAACTTATTTTGCAGATAAAATTGCTATGTTAACAGAAAGACTTCTCAGTTGTTCAAATAAATGTTCAAAGACCAAAAAAAAAATAGAATTAATGCCTAAACAGCTCATGTCAGGGAGAATAATGTGGATTCAATTCAAAATAGCATCTGTTGTTGCCACAGCAAGAATAATAAACAGATCATAATGTAGAAATAGAAATCAGCTATTTAGATTGCTGGCTTCTCTTACTCATGTCTGTAAAAGAAATATGTTCCTCAAAGAATTTGTGCCTTTGAAGTACTGATTTTTCTTATTGTTAGGACAGTGTTTCAAAGGGGTAAAGTTTCTTAAGTAAATCTAAAAAAAAATACTTTTCTTAAGTAAAGAGATTAAATAATATCTGCAAGGGAATTGATTAGTCTATTTTTGGAGATATTCAAGACCCTCCTGGACAAGGTCCTGTGCAACCTGCTGTAGGCAACCCTGCTTCAGCAGGGGGGTTGGACTAGATGACCCACAGAGGTCCCTTCCAACCCCTACCATTCTGTGATTCTGTGATTCTGTGATTCTGTGATTCTGTGATTTCAGCATTTCACTGTTGCAACAGAAAGTCTAGCCTCTCAGTTCACCCTTTGTCCATACCTAACCTTGATGAGGGTAAATCCATTAACAAGGGAAGGTTATTCTCTGCGAACAATACTGTTCTTCCTCAGTGAAATACATGGCTGCTGTGGTAACTACAGAATAATAATAGGTAATGGACAAAGGTTATTAAGGTTGTTTGCAGAAGTCAAACATCAAGGTTCTTTTAAAGTGAGCCTTTAAGTTGTTATAAAAGAAGCTCTATATCATCAGTGTCATTTGTTGTTTAGTAAAGACTTCTATCACCCGACAATACCTGTTTTTCCTTTTTAACACTAGTCATGTTGTCCTGTAAATCAGGTTTATAGGAAGGATATTTCTTTATTAGTTTCAAGTCAGATGATGGTCAGTAGAAGTAATCCTCTGGGCAAAACTCAGCTTGAAACAAGTTTTTATTCATTTATTACATTCTCAGTCTGTGTGCAGACCTCATACTGACATCAGTAACAAGCAATGTACTTGGAAAAACAGAGATCTTTGAAAATGGGATGTTATTTGTGTTTGAGAAGAGTATTTTAACATTTTTCTCTGTGTTAATGCCGTCACATTTTACATGCAGTGGTGAGGGTTGCTGTGGTTTTATGTTTTGGCACCAGCCTGTAATGAGTGTGCCATCATGCTGTATACTCAGGGAACAAATAATTTGCAGACCACTTTATGGGATAATTACGATATAGTAAATTGTGCATTCCATAAATATGCAACAAACTACACAGAAGTATGTCAAGACTTAAAAAAATGTAACTAAATCCGATCAAAATGGAGTTGTCCCTTAGCAGCCTGTCCTTTGCTTAAATATAGGAAAAAATTGGCAATGGATCAGGGAAACAACTGATTGCTGCAAGGGATCAAGCAAGTGAGATATGATGCTAGACTGCAATTTTAATGATCTACTTCAGATTCTTTTAGATATTGTGGGTTATTAAGTAATCAAATTATATTCAAGTAATTCAGCACCTGCTTTATCAAGCTACAGAATATGGAATTAGATATAGACCACTTCAGCTTCACTGATTTGATTATGTAGTAGAGAGAGACTGGTGAGTATACATTAATCCTATGAAATTAAATCAAGAAAATGAGCTGAAGATATTCCTAGGGGCCTATTTGGTGTCTGTTTGCATAAAATGCTGAATTACCTGCTTACTGCAATAACTTTTTTTTGTGATGAGTAATGGAATGGAACTGAAGAACTGAGTTTCTGTAAAAAGTTAAACAAGAGTGTACGGGTTCAACCCTGAAGTCCATTTAACTCCTGGCTCTGACAACAGCCAACACCATATCATTAGAGCATAAGAACAAAACAAGTATATAATTTTTCCCTCAGTGCTTCCTGATGTGGAGTATAAAGACTACACTGTTACTTCATTTATGTTCAATTATGTGTGATGGACTTTTCCTCCATTATTATTGTCTGAACCAGTTTGGTACTATTTTCTGGTATCTTCAGTACCCTGTATATTGTGTGCAAGTATGATGTAATCATGCTTACTCTGAAGAATCATTTCCTTTTTGTTGGCTTTAATTCTTTAAGATAAAGTCTTCTCACATTTCCTTATTCTTACAGGAAATGATGACTTAATAGCAAATAAAGCCTATGCATTCTTTACCCATGCCATGCACAATTTGGTAGACTTCTGACCCTTTTTTGTCTTTAAGAGTCTGAATTACTTCATTTTATCACATATAGAGACATTCCAGTACTTCTAATCTTGGTTTTGTCCTGTTTGTAACTTTTCTATTGAGATTGGATACTTTATATTTGGTGGAAAGATTGTTACTTGCTATTCTCTCCAGAAGAAGTATAAACAAATAATTTATCCTGCAGTCTTTTCAAATGAAGTGAGATTAACTCCGTACCAAATTACCTAATTTCAATGTTAAATATGAACATTGAAGGCCTGTCTTATTATCTCAGTCTGAAAATGTGACTGTTCTACCATCAGTTATTCTTCATCTAGCCGTTTCATACCATATTTGAAAACAGACTTGTTAATAATTTTCTTAAGATTTTCAGAGCAATGCAGGTTTTTAAACTATGCCACCTACAAGTGATTTATTTGAAAGCAATATCAGTATTGATTTTTATTTTGATTTTTTGAAGTGAAACATTTGTGAAGAAAAATTATTGAAGTAAAACAGTAATGAACAATAAGATGATAAAACGTTTACAAAACACATGAATAAAGTGTAAGTCATCCTAGAACTTCAAAAATATTTGATCTGTAGATGTGTTTCAAATAATTCTATCAGAAATACATTTTCATCCTCTGGAAAATATGTATGATTCACAGTAATTCCCATTTTTGTCTGGAGATAATATGGAGTTTTGAAGGACAGTGATAAATAGAAAGCACAGCATGTTTAGAAAAGCCACTATCCTAGTGTGGTTAGTGCACATAGCTCAAATCCAAGACACAGGTTCTGTTTAACTTATTTGGAATAGATACTTGAACCTTGTTCTGCTGTACCCAGAATAACCAATAAATAAAAGCTTTCAATAGATTATAGAATGCCTCACCTGTTTTTACCAGCTGTTTTTCTTGAATCTGAAAAAACATTCCTAGTTCATGTTTGTTACAGCCAGTGCATTTCAGCAAGCTGTTTTGAGTTCCATGAAATGTTTTATCAAAAAAGAAAGAAATTGTCACTGAAGCAGTTTCTCTTTTCCTCTCACTACATGAATGAGACAACCCTCATGCCTGGAAAGTTCTCTGCTTTGTATTCTCTCATTCCTCTAACAAATCATTACATGTTTTGTATTTTCCACATTTTATTTGCAGTATTTAATAATCTCTCTGATTTATATTTTGGTTACAGGTTTCTCTTGGACTTCTGCATGCTCGAGCTACTCATATCCTCTGGCCTCCACACCGCTGGCAGAAGTTACAGCCAATGCTACCTCCGGAGCGCAAACCACTCCAGAGAGAGCAAGAGTGATCTAAATGTTCAGATGGAAAAACACTGTAGTGAAGCTTAACCAGGAAGAGTTGCAGTGGTTGTACTAGCACCCATACAAGCTTTGCCAAGTTTGCTTTAACATCAGGCATCTATCAGCAAATACCTGTGACATCTTCAAGTTAAAACACCAACTTATGTGTAAAGTTTTTTTTGTTTGTTTGTTTGTTTTGTTGTGTGGTGTGTTTTTTTTTTTAAATCTCAAACAGTAGTGCATTGTGTGTTATTTTGGTTTGAAGTAATTGATTGCAGAAGCTTTGAATGTTCAGTTTTTCTGGGAGTAGTAAAATGCTTGACTTGTTATGTCTTTTCTTGTGCTTCCCTGTATAGGAATTTACTAAAACCTTCAATAAAATGTTTTAATCTTTTACATTCAGCTTGTTTCTTTAGTAACTGAATGAAACCTTTATTATTAACATTGATCGCATATGAAAAAAAAAAACCCAAACATGTAATATGCTTTGGATTATCCTGTGATTTCTAATACTGAAGAATTGGTACTTTTGTAGCCGAAAAGTTAGTCACATACATCATAAATTTTTTTCAAAAAGCTAATGAGATTTTTTTTCTTTTAATGCAGCTTGTGTTTATTATTAAACTGAATACATGTTACTTATGTTGAATTTCTCTTTCAGGAGTGTTTTATATAAAAATTCCTTGTATACCTTGCTGAAGTAGATATTCAGTCAAAATATACAAGTTATGTTACAGTATCTGAAGGCAATGTTTCATTCATTTCTCAAGTATAGTAAATCATTGTTAGTATTGATCGCTGCATTTCTTTGAAACTATGTAATTAGTTTATAAACACTATACAATTAATACTATAAATATATAATTACTATTATAAGTACACTCTGAATATGCGGTAAAGATGCTTCACAGTTTATAAGTTAAAAAGAACTTGAAAAGAGCACATTTTCAGCTGCAGATTAATAAGAGCCATTTTATTTTCCTATTTATTAAATTTTGCCTTTGATAAGATAGTACTTTAAAAATTTAGCAAATCACACAAAAAATCGTTAAACATTTCAGCTAAACTCATGCAATTATCAGAACTTCAGATAAGATGACTATGTCTATAGCTCTTTGAAGACACACATCTGCATATTGGTTAGAGGATAGGTTCAATCACCATGAAAACTCTCTATTACTGTCTAACCTTCTTTTTAAATGCTCCAGCTCTGTAGACTCTCTGAAACATTTTACTGTCTATTATCTTTCTTTGTTCCAAAAAGCTGTTTCAGAGGACTCTGAACTCAGCTTAGTTAAAACTAATGCAGTTTGTTTGGGTGTTAATTGCAGTAAATTCACAATTATTTTGATTGGCATAGAGTGATGGAAAACAGTATTTTACAATCTTTTTTTTTTCAGATTAATTTAGGAAACTGAAATGAGCTAAAGAAATTTACTAGACTGATAATTGATTTTAGTGACAAAGATACAAACACATATCCATGAAAGGAGAAAGAGACAAACATACAATGAAATGGAAAAAAACCAGATTAGATCAGCTTTATTTCTTTCCATTGTTCAGGTCTTCAGTTCACTTCTTTCCAGTAGTTCTCTCCCTCCCTACTCCTCCTCTTGCATATCAACTGGGCAGAAGTTCTTACATATATTGACAAGCTGGAAAGTTTTGTTGGCCGTTCTGATTCATTGGTACATATTCTGCAAAATCAGTGCCAGAGAGTTATCAACAAAACCAAAGGCATTTGTTCCTCAGTTGTTATCTTAATCATATATTTCTATTCATACTGTCTAAAGATACAGCCAAATGTGTCTGCATCAGCTACATTTCCAAAAGGATTCTTTGAAGTTCCTTACGATTGCAGGCCTTATTTTCCAGTGGAGAGCGAGGATCAACAGATACGTAAGAATTAAATTACAGAGGAGATAGAACCAAGGACAGCATGCAAGATCTTAGGGTGTGCCAGATCTTGCAGCCCAACAGAGGCGAGGCTGCTGCAGCTGCATGTCCCCAGGTCCATCCAGCAGCAAGGCCAAGCATGCATTCCCCGTGGGCACACACGCACACTCAGTACGTTACATCCGTATACATGTGACCAGCGACACACATCAACACAGACAAACCCACTTGGTACTTGTGTAAACAATAATGGCAACAGTGACTCATCTGTTCCTCTTGCTGGCATCAGGATGAAAATACTTAAGTGGAAAATATATACAAAATATATACAGCATGGATGCCTTCAGAATCAGATGCCCATTTTGCCCAGTATACACAATCCTGGAGTCCCTATTTGCTGGTCCCTGGACAAACAAGCCCCCATACAACCTCCAGTGCATCCCTCCAGCAACTGGGCTTAGAGACCCCGTCCATCGAGGTCTATCCTGTAGCTGGACTTGGTTCCTCACTCTCCCGATGCATGCACATACACTCACAGATGGGTCTCCCAGTCAAACTGCAGTTTCGGCAGCTGGTGCCTCTGTTAGCCAAAGCCATCTGTGGTCTTAATTCTAGGGACACCCTCATACCACCCTCCAGGCCATATGTCCCCCTTGCCAGCTCGTCCAGCTTGGTGCTGGCCACGGTCATTCACTGACAACGCACCCACCTTCCACCCCATGCTGGCACAGCAGGCACATGGGCCTCCCGCCCCTGGTCCACTCCCACCACTGGCACTCAGACCCTCCCCACACAAGCACACAGCCCAGGGACCTCTGCACCCAGGGAAACAGTTAGAAATGGAGTTTAATGAGAAGATGAGATAGACTGCACTGACCAGGCTCAGGCATCGACAGACCAGCACCTGTTTATGTGTAATTGGCTCCTTACATACCCTTCTCTCTCTCTATTTTTCCACACACGATCCTCCTCAAACCACCCTCGTTTCCCTGACTTTTGTCCCCTAAACATCCCACAAGAGTTGCACAACACTGAAATGCTCTTCCTTGCACCCCACAGCAAACCCCATACCCCTGGGCAGTGTCACCAGTCTGTGGGGCAACCCGGAGAGCCTCCCCACTGACTTGTGGTGTTGGCTGTCCCTTGAGGGGCTGGTGCAAGGGCTCATGCCTCTGATCGGGTTATTGAGGTGTGTGTACACCCTCCCATCATGCTTCTGTGCTCCTTTATGGTTGTGAGGAGGAGACTTTCACAGTCTTCTGACTCCTTTAATAGCCACAGAGGAGCCAAGTCATTGTATTATCTGGCTTCCCTCAGCTGCTATTACTCCTCTGGGCTCCTTTGTCTGTGTGGAGACCAGCTCTTTATCACATAACCTTATACAAGCTATGAAAGTTTAAATGTCCCAAGTATTCAACTGTGACATGCCTCAAGGAATCCTTATTCATCTATATTTGCATATATATATTTATAAAATTTATGGTTTTATATGAATATATAAGATATACATGATGGAATGATGGAATAGAGAATACGCCTATTAAGTTTGGAGATGTTGCTATGGTTGTAAAGACTGCCATCATTTTGGAGAATGGCATTAGACTACAGTGATCCAAATTCCATAACGATGAGCAGAGAGTCCGGTGGAATGATTACCCATACACAAGCTGCATTAAGTTAAAAGAAAATTTGGCGATTATAGTAGGTTGCAGTTGAGCATGAATCAACGATATACTGTTGTGAATAAGGAAAATAAGACACGTTGTAAACAGCAGTACAGAGTGTAAACACAGGAAACAATATTTCTGCTTCTTTAATCTACAGTACGATTTTAGGCACTAGATTCAGAAAAAAATGAAGGACAACTGGAGTCTTTAGAGAGAAACAACAAGAATAAAGACAAATCAGAGAAATATGACCTATGGCAAGCGTTGGAAGAACCTGGTTTTCTCATTTACTCTGGAGAGTCCAAGGCATGGTCTTCAAAATCAAAAGAGGTTGCTGCGAATTGAAAGAGAATCATTGGTTTGCCAAGTCCATCATGTACAGAAGGAGAACTAACAGACTTACAACGCAATAGGAAGACTTTTAGGTTAGACATGGAGAAAGAAACATTATAATTTTCAAAATAATAAATCATTAGAATAGATTATTTTTCATTGCAAGTTTTAAAAAATATTTTATCAGGACTGTTTGTACTTTGAGATAGGAGAATGAGGCTTTACTAATGACAAATACCGTAGAAAATATCCTTCTTCCACAAATAGCCAATTTCACCCAAAAAGACTGGGTTTGTGTAAATAATATGCAACAGCACTTTATAACCATCCTATTGAAGCTGTACTTTTATGCAGAAATAAATTAAAGTTCTAGAAGAAAACTAGAGGACAAAGGCTGCAAGAAAACCACATGGCAGTGTCATAGGGGACAGACCGGGAATCCAAGAGATAGCAGAGCTAGAATCCGCATCCCTGCATCTTTACACCTTTCCAGTAATTCCTCTGTGTCAAATAAATGTGCAGATTATTAAATCTGGTGCCACAACTACAAAGTTAATTTCATCTAGTGTTTTCCAATGTTCTTAATTAAAAAAAAAAAAAAAGCGTAGCCTATTGTGGAAATTCTAGCATTATCTGTTTTGCCCCTGAAAGCTGTAGGTTTATTTGTTTGTTTTTTAAGTTGTGAAATAAGAGATAAGCCAGAAGCTGGTTTACGTAACTGCACCTCAAGAGACTTTTAAGCAGAACATTACACAGAAAATATTGCTAATATTCAAACTATATCACCATTCAAATATCTTCTTGATTGAATTTATCGAGTGCTTTTAGATGAGTGGCTTGCCTTTGGATGATTTAATAACTAAAAGCCTGAAGGTACAGAATATTTAAAAAAAATACAGCAGCTGTATCTGAATATCAGCTTATCCTGAGCATACAGTGACAAAAACACTAATTTAAAAAAATGTTTAATTTGTGATAACTTGTTGGAACTATATTAACCCATTACATCATGTACCATCTTCTTCGTCCCACTCACAAATATCTCAGCATTTTATTTAACATCTAACCTTTTCTCATATCCTTCTACTAAATGTCAAAATTGAAATTTATAC